ATAATCCGTGCGGCACACACGGGCAATAAATAAATTAAAACGCGGGCCGCGATCGGGCATATCCGTGTTGTTATCGCGGATAAATTTATATATGTATATGTATATGAGAAAATCGCCGGCGTGCTCGCGCGCACGGCCGTGCACGTGTGGAAATCACCCGCGTGTGCGCGCGAAGCCGGCTCATATATTAGGCGAAAATTTGTCTCAATCCACATACTTCGCGAGCATGGAGCACGCGTCGTCAACAGGCCCTCACACACTCGCTATACACACACACACACACACACACACACACACGCACGCTAATCGATCGATATAATTGTGTAGCAAAACTTACCTAGGTACCAATTCACCTAAATCAATTGATAACTAAAAATATATATTGATATATACATATTATATATATATATAAATATATATTATATATATATATATAGAGAGTAGCGTCGTGTTCCAATACTTGAGCAAGCGAGTACTTGGACAAGGACCGAGACCGATTTTTCTAGACAAATTTTTCTATAATGTTCAAAAAACGGATAAAAACGTGCGAAAAAAAAAGGATAGGCGAGCGAGAGGAAGGAGGACAGGACGTGTCGTCCCCGTCGCGGAGAACGTCACTTCGGAACCTGTTTCGGGAGCGCGAGCGCATACGCGAAAGTACACTTAATTCTGGCTATCACACACACACACAACACACACACACACATGCAGTAAGTAATGAGCACGCATGTACAATTAAAAACCGCAAAAACCTAACTGCGAATACACAGTTTTCTCTAGGTTACACCAATCTCACACACATACACACACACACACACAATCCTCATAAAATCGTAAATACCAGTATACGATCTTTTTCGTGTCGTTAGTACACAAGAAAACCGTCAGGAAATTCCTGTAAATACACAATTTTTTTCCACTTTCACGAACACGTCTTATCAAACACGTAACGTGAAACTACGGTCATGTCTCGTTGGATATGGGTGTCTAGCTAAATGTTTCAATCTCGCTGTGTGTACTAGGGTCGTTTCGCGGGTTTCGATTTCCCCATTCCCGATTGATATTCATCTATTTAACCCCCGACCCGGCATCGTGTACCTCTTTGTGCGAAACACTTATTTTTGTGCTAGCGGTTTATAAAGCGCAATGAAGGGGAAATAAAGTGTTAGGTATATTTCGTGTAAAAACGTTCAGCCTCGCCGTTTAGATTCTCGAAAACCGACTAAGATATTTCACCTCGGCCGACACGAGAGCGATATTACGGTCACGATGACAATATGCCCCGAACTTTTATAACGTAACAGATAATCCGACCTAATCATCAGCTTCCCAAATTTCGACTAAAGAGATATACGATCATTATATTTATAATTATCACAGACGATCGATTTCGCGTTGGCCGTGCAATTTGTTTTACAACATCGGTTTCCGTGAATCTTTTATTCTGAGCCGTCATCGAACAAATTTTTTAGAAATTGAAGGGTTTGATGCAGCAAAAGAATAAATTCAAAGTCTAAAGAAAAAACTGCATGAGAATGTAGCATAAACGAGTAACCAATTTTAAGCATCTTAAAATTATCAAAAACAATTTAACTCGTTTGGCTTTAGACCGATAAACTCGGATACTTTGTGCGCTAAACCCTTCAATTCGTATCTCTACGGCGGCCAGATTGAGCTGGATCGATCCCTGTTTTGCTGAGCACCACGTCTAATTTCGCCCGATATCTTCGATCTCGTTTTTATAAATTTAGACTGAAAGGAAAAAGAAAAAAATCGCAATGCGAAAACTTACATTTTTGCGATGGATGCGATATCTCATCGGAATGGAGCAGTTAGGCGGGTGTTTGATAATCGCGAGATTCCGAAGAGATACCTCGTGTGAGTATCGCGAAATGTGTACGTTCTATACGATCGCACGACGCGAACATATCATTCACGGTCCGATGATCGGATAACAACCAAAAAAAAGGTCGAAACTGGATGAAGGTGCTGTCGCGAGACTGGGACATCCTCTGACTCTTCTAGTTATCGCGAAGTTGTTGCATCTTTGCGTATCTTCGCAGAATCAGTTCGAAAATTACTTTCGCTTGCCGTTAAATAACGTACGTTTTTGTAAAAGTTATACATGATATGTGTCTTGATATTGTCTCTTAGAGACGCATGTTTCGCTATTTAGAATCTATCCTATTCGATATTCGAGTTTGAATGAATTAATAAATTGTTACGTTTTATATATAATAGTTAATAGATAATGTCAACTAGTCTAGCTAGTGTTTGATTGCAATTGTATTTAAAAAATTTTTTTTACTATTTTCGAGAATTAAGCAATTTCAGATCTTTAATACATGCCTTTCCTTAAAAGCATTGTGATTCACTGTAGTGTTATAAAACCGCGTTGACTGTAGGATAATTGAAGAACGCTATTTATAGAGGCATTAATAAGTTTTACGATAGATTTACGAAAAGGCAATTTAACGCGCTTTATATTTTACTATTTCTGAATTGAAAAATCATTTGTTACATACTTTATATCATCGAACGCCTTTCTTTCTGCTGCAAAAGTAACTTCCCAGACTTACTAGAATTCTGATCGCCGTAGATTCTAACAAAAAAATTTCCAAATTTGAGCTTTTTTGGATCGATCGTGTGCGGCGAGGAAAAAGGCGAATAGAAAAAAAAAAAGAAAGAATAATATATAAAGCCGCGAAAAAACGCATGCATATGCACACACGGCATGCACACATTCACACACCTACACACCACACGGACACTATGAAACGCCTCTGCAAGCGTGGCGCGTAATGAATTAGTGAAACGAAGTAATCGCAAAACTACATCCGCAGTACGGAGTTAACGTTTGAGGTACGCCAGTAACAAAAAAAATAACAACAAAATAATAATAATATGTTAGGTGTGATTCTTCACCTCCTTTGTAATATGTGTGATAAAGCATAATATATAATAATATAATGACAATTATATAGATATATATTATATATATAAAGTACTAATATATAATTGATAATAACGATTAAAATATCTAATATATTGTGACAGACTTTGAAGGAAAAAAAGAAAAAGAAACGGGATGCAATTGGAATTAGGTAAATATTGCACGACACGACAGTAAAAAGCGAGAGAAGAGACGGAGATAAGTCGCGTGGGGATCTAAAGAGGATTAAAAGAAAAGATACGCGCGATTAATTATCCAGACACGTGGCGTACATGATTGCGCACGTGAGGTTACGAACAAGGGCGATTAGGCGAATTATCGGTTCGCTCGTGTTCAAGCGGACTTACTGTCGTTCGGGTAATGCGCGTATAATAAAGACGAGCGTAAGATAAGAGAGAGGGAGAGTGAGAGAGAGAGAGAGAGAGAGAGAACGATAGTGAAAGAGAGAGAGAAACATTGATTTAAAAAAAAACGTGGAAGAGAACGAGTAACAATGGTAGTCATTTACGATAGATTTGTATTTTTCAGTGTTGAAAAGTTTTTTATACCGCTGTTATATTCTTGTCTAAATATCTTAGTTCAGAGAAGTTGCGCGAATGCGTGTTTGTAGGACATTTCTGCGTATCTGTATGCGCGAGTGTGTGTTTGTATGCATGTTTGTATGTGAGCAAGGGGATGTGAGAGAAAGAAAGAAAGAGAGAAAGAGGTAGAACGCGAGAGATAGGAATAATAATCTAGCGAGAGAAATGCCGAGGAAGAGAGATACTTCATTTCTCCTGATGTCGATACGATGATCGTGCGATCGGAAGATCGACAAAAGAGAGA